GTTTAGGGTTTGGGGTTGGGGTTGAGGGGAAAGTGTTTAAGGGTCTGGGGTTTATAGGCTGAGGGGCCGTACCTGTCCCTTACCCCTGGGCTGTAAAGCTTGTCTTGTACTATATACCCTGGTTTATATAACATGGTGTCCTACCCCATGAAGCGCATAAAAACAACAGCATGCTCGATCGCTATCCCCCAGCTCAGCGTTAACATCCTAAACCCTAAACCCGAAACCCTAAACCCTAAACCATTCAGTGTTAACATCCTGTTGCAGCTTCGGAACACTCTCCAGCCCGCGCAAGGCCAGAAGTGCCATCACTGACAGCCCGAGCGCAGCTGCTGTCTTCTTCCGCCGCGAGGATCCAGACTTCATTGGAGGCTCTGGGCCCACTCGCAATTAGGACTTAGGGTTTCGGGGTTAGGGTTTAGGGTTTAGGGGTCTAGGGTTTAGGGTTTAGGGGTTTAGGGGTTTAGGGGTTTAGGGTTCGGGGATACGGATGCCAGTGTTGAGTGCTTACATGCGGGGCCCGCAGTTGCTGAAAGATCTTGGTGACGCTGAAAAAACTGCTCCCTTTTTTGGCGAAGTCCTTACGCTTCACTCTATAGAAAAGTAGAAAGTATGACTTGACTCAAAGCTACCAGAGAAGCCGAAGCCTGCTCTGTGTGTAACATACAGACTGCGAAGCTCTAAACCCTGAAACTCAGCAGTGCCTACTTGGAGGATCATGGGACTTAGTAAGTAAGGTTATAAGTCCCTTAATTGGGGTTATAAGTAAATATGGGGGTTTCCGAAAATAGGGGACCCTAATATAGTACCCCAAATAATAGGATCCTTATTATAAGGGCCCCAAAATAAGGTACCCCTAATTTTCGGAAACTCCCATATAGGTATAGTGGTCTTAATTATAACCCTAATTCGTAAGTCCCATGATCCTCTAAGAGTCCCCCGAACCCTGACACCGTGAAGCTGTACAGATTTTTGTGTTTTGTTGCAGTGATGTAAGGAAAAGTCCAGTGTCCCCGGACCCTCCTAAATCCCGAACTGAGAAGAGGCTAGGCAACTTCGTACTCTCTTGAGCCAGCTCTCATCGCGATTTAGGGGTTTCGGTTTTTGGGGGGTTTAGGATTTTAGTGCTAAGCTGTGGCGCCTTAAGGGACAAGCTACAGCTATTGGGTTAGGATGGCTTAGGGTTTTGGGCTTGTCGCCTCCGGGTGATGTTCGCAAGGTTTCGCAAAGTAGCGCTCAAGGGGCAGGGCTGCGGGCTTAGGCTTCGGAAAAGCATGGACAAGCACTAACATGGGGGCCTAAAATAAGTAGAAGAGGGTTTTGGGGGTATGTTATACTATAATCATAATAAGGAACCCCCAAAACCCTATTAAGGCCCCTATATATTAGGCTATAGACCACAACAATGGTTGGGTTTTAAGCCATGTGGACTATACGGGCACCACGGCACCCCGATCCCACTATTCTACACCTTAAGCTGCCCCAAACAAGAGAAACCTTGCCTGCGCCCTACACGTTAAGCCCTGAACCTCGGCAGCCCTCCCTCTCTGAACCCTAAATCCGAAACCACTGAAACCTGGCCTGAAGCAGGAAGCCCACAATGCGCCGCACCATATGCTTCAGGAATCCGCGGCCCTGAACGCGGAACCTGAGGCTACACACGCGTTTCAATTGGTACGGGCATTTACGGCTTCAAAGCCATGATAAGCAAAGCTGCGAGTAATGGTTCGGTTTTGTAAGGGTTTGTGGGCCCTGTTGCTTGGCTTGTTCCGGCTTAGATTCACATAAGCTTTCGGTTGGCACTAAACTCCCAAGCTTGAAACGCCCCGGAGCCATCTTGCTTGTTTAGGATCTGGGCTTCGGGATCTCATGTGCCAAAGAGTTTTACGGCCACCTAGACCCTAATATCCTCAATAATTTGTTTCGTTTTTTTTGGTGTAGATCATACTCTAACTCTAACAAGGAACCCCCAAAATATTATGGGTAATTATTCAGGCCCCTATATTAAGTTATAGGTAATTACTAATCATTAAGGCCCCTATATTAAGTTATGAGTAATTATTAATCATTAAGGCCCCTATATTAAGTTATAGGTAGTTATTTATTATAACAGCCCCTATCTTGCACCTGAAAGCCCCGACAGCCGCAGCACCTCGTCAAGAGAAGGCCCGGCGTCCGAACCTCCTCGGCCCCTGCCGTCGAACTGCAGCTTTGGCAGTCCTGGTCGAACATCCGGTCGATGATATAAACCCTGCATTACCCATAATAAGGAATCTGAATTCAGGGTTTAGGGTTGAGGGTCTAGGGTTGGGGGTTTAGGGTTCTTTTAGGGGCCTTAATAATTCGAATAGGGTTTAGGGGCCATTATCCTATAATTATTATTGTTTTGGGTTTATAGCCTAATATAGGGTTTAGGGTCGAACATAAATATAGACATATCTATAGATAAGTAGAGCTACCTGATTTATAACTCTAGTTACTAAGTCTTGAACATAATATAGGGGTAATTAATTAGTAGAATAGGTTGTGGGCTCCTTTATAGTATATTTCGAATAAGGAACCCTACCAATAATGTTAGAAGGGTCTATATCGATAGATAAGTAGAGTTACGCGGCTTATAACCCTAGCTGCTAAGTCTTATCATCCCTTTAAGTATCCCCTAAAATGTAGGGGCCTTAAGAGTTGGAATAGGGTTTTGAGGTATGTCATAAAGGGATTCCTAAAAGGTTCTATGAGGGTTTAGGGTTTAGGGTGTACGGCCCTTAATAATTAGAACAGGGTTTTGGGGCCCATTATACTATAAAAATTATAAGGAGCCTCCAAAATAGTATAGGTAATTATTCTGGCCCCTATATTTGGTATAGTCCCTCCTCTATGTCTACACTGAAACATACGCTTGATGATATAAATCCTGCATTGCCCATAATAAGGAATATACCCTAGTTCCCATAGTTTAGGGTCCTTAACGTACTGCAGGATTTATATCATCAACAGTAGGGATAGTCCCTCCAATCATCTATATCTACACTGAAATAAGCCCCAGCACCGTACTCTGTTCCTATCCGTTAATTTTGTTCTTCAGTTACGAGATGAAGCTCCGTTTTGCTGGACCTTCAACCCTAAACCCTAAACCCTAGACCCGGGAACCCTTAGACTTAGAAGAGCCCTTCGGGCTTTTGGGGATGAGAACTTGCAGACCCTACCAGGACCAGCTCAACTACCCTGAAACTGTATGAGAGCACCTACAGCCTCTCATAGTTGGCATTCAAGCTAAACCCTAGACCCTAAATCCTATAACCCCTCAACCCCCAAACCCTAATGGAAAAAAGAGCCCAGGGTACAAGACTTCGAGGCTGAAGGACTTAGATTCGGAGGTTGTAGGTTTGAGGGTGAATCGCCTTAAGCCTTCTCGGGTTTGGGGTTTAGGGTTT